AACTCATTATTTTTTACCTTATAATTTTTGCGGAACTACGGTAATGTTCTTCTGAGTTACATCTGAAACTAGCGTAGCTATAAGTGAATAGCTGTTCGGACCGTTTAAACCTACCAATGACTGGCGTCAGAGACTGCGTTGGCTTTGTTGCTGGTTCACCTGTATTTTCGTTTTTGACACCTTCATCCTTTTTTACATTCTCTTTCTCGTCTTTCTTTTCCTCTCCCTCTTTTCTATCCTTCTCTCCTTCCTTCCTTTCTTCCTTTTGCTCAGAAGCTTTCACTTCGGAATCTTTCTTCTCCTCATCTTTCCCTTCTTTTTCTTTCTGGAACAACAGCTATCTCTTTTAGTTCTATGTTATGTTCTTCAACTATTGACTTACGTTTTCTTTTGCTGAATCCCAGTCGCTTTCGACATCATTAAAAGTTGGATAATCGCCTTTATTCCGCACTTCCTTTCCTTGAGCGATTCGCTCCTATAACGTTTAGCAACTTTATTTCACAAAATTCTGAAAGAGATCTCGGAATAAGGGAAAATTATTCCAAAGTCATTCACCTCCTTTTCATTTCGTTTGATTCGTTTAGGTTTGAGATTTTCAATCATTTTTCTTTCTCCTTCTATGTTCCCTTTGTCCCTTTCCTTTTCCTCCTCCTTTATACCTTCCTTCTTTTCCTCCCTTTTTTCTTCCATTTTCTTTACCTCACTCTGTCTTAGTTCGGGCATATTTTCCAGTTTTCTGTCCCCTTTATCCTAAAAAGCGAGATGTAATGTTCTGACGCAGTAATTTTGTGGATAATATCCGTAGGATATGAAGCATTTGAGAAATTCTGCTAATATACTAGAGCTTTATACAGTACGCTAATGTAAAAAAAAAAGAGTTGGTTTTTGGGTTATTAAGTTCCAGAGTCCTTTTTATAGAAGGCGTATCTGTTGCAACATTCTGCAATGTTTAATTGCTTTGAAAGTGCTTCTGAGAGGTCTCTTTCGTAATCTAATCGATCTTTTGTGACCTTTGGTTAAACTTTTTCAAAAAGCTACGGTTTTTAAGTTAATTACACTTAGACCATGCCATGAGAAGTTGCAGATTAGCTAGGTATGGCGGAAAGTTTTTTTGAGACCTGCAGGCATGTAGGGAAACGGCGAAAACAAAAGAACATAAAAGGTGTTTCAAATTCAAGTTCCAGTGCATGAAAATGATATAATTTTTAATTTTTCTTGACAAAATTGACGAAAGTCCGACGCAGTTTTTGGATGTCACAGTATGCAAGATGCAACTTTGATGATGTCCGAGGGTGAACGTTTAATCTCAATTTCATATATCTCAGATTCACATCCCACGTTTTGCACTTTCGTCTAAAAAAGGATAAACAACCGATGTGATTCAAAAAGCTGCATGCACTTATAACAGACTGAAACGCCGATTTCATCTGCTAAACATTCCACTGGATAAAGTTATTTAAGTTTCTTTTTTTGCCAATAATTTATTGCGAAAACTGTGAATGGCTCCTATCAGTGTCTTCAAAACGCGATAATTTAAGAGATCATTTTTGAAAGATTATGAACATCAGTATTCGGCCACCAGTTGTTATATAACCCGTTCATTTTTGACGCTTATCTTCGTGCACTTTCCTGTGCCTTTTAGAATGGGGATGTCTTTCTGAATCGCCACTTCGACAAAAAATTCTTCCATTGTAAGTTGAATTATAGGTTACAAAGACACCCCACACCAAGCAAGCTTCAGATTTTGTAAAAGACCATGTATGGAGAATTTGAGAGTCAATCTGCCACCTTGCTCCAACGAGCTATCATCT